ATGGCAATCTGTTGAATTTAGAAGCTAAACAAACCTCACACTCCATTATTGACTCGTCAAAAATCACGTCTCTTAATTCTTTGTTATCCGGGAATTTCAATTGAATTGCTTTGAGATATGCTATTGAAACATGACCAAATCTAGCGTGTCACAATAATGCTTTATTATGATTACTACGAAGTTTATCGTTATCATCCACAAACGTATCAAAAGTCTCGTCACTTTCGTAAAGTCTCACCTCATCTGCATTATTTATTTTCCTGTCCCAAATTGAGAAATCAAAGTTCGAGTGTAGGAGAGGATCTAAAGTTGATTTGGAGTTCTCTATACTACCCAAATTGTCGTCTCGTCAAACTTCAGTTTGTTTACTCTCTATCGCCTCGGTTGATGATTCTACAATTTGCTCGCCACCCTTAATTGGGATTTCCTTACCCGAAACTTCACCTAGCTTAGCTGTGACACTACGCGTCATAAATTTTCTGATCTCAGTCTCACCTCCTACCATATTGGCTATAACTCGTCTAGTTGTATTCTTCTGGAATTGTTTACTGACCTGACTATACTTATTTATTTTCAAATCGATAATCCAATATGGTTTTCTATACACACCGGAGATAAATAATTCATTAGAATCTGGGTTAAAGATGTCTATTCTCTTGTCGTCCAGATAAATCCCAAGACCCATTTCTGCGAAACGTCTTAGTGACAGTAAGTTAGCTTGAAGAGCATCAACAAATATAACCTCGTCTATACAAATTTCTTTCCATTTAACAATTCGATTTCTACCTGACCTACTCTCTCCATTTTCAAGTCCACATTTTTATTTTTATTTGCACATTTAATCACACCCTTTGTTTGCTCGTCAATCGACTTGAATGTTAGCTTCGAATTTGTTAAGTGCTCAGTAGCACCAGAATCTGCTAGAAATTTAGTGATAAACTTATTTTTATGGAGATTTACTCCCTCATGCATTGCCTGACCTACACATGGTTTATCATTCACGTCTATGTATTCTTCTGAACAGTTCTCAATTGACTCACCCTTTTCTTTGTTATCTGTTCCTGAGGTTTTGCTTGAGTCTTCCTTACTGATTTTTTATGGACTTTGGACTTAGAATACCTGTTATCTCCTTTGCCTATTGGCTTGTTAAATCGACCCTTTTTCCCACCTATAGAGTCATTCGCATTATCTGACCTTCTCTTCAATGACCCGATTGCACGCCCAGATCCACGAAAAACTCTTCCACGCGAACTGTGATTTTCAGTATCTACTTTTGACTTGTATGCCTCACCTGATTTTGGACAGTCTCGACCAAAGTGATCAAAACCTCCACACTCGAAACTTCTCGCACTTTGAGCTGCAAAGTTTGCGGTTCTTACCTCACTGCTGTTAGACTCGTCCTGCTTCCTGATCGCTTCTTCCTGTCTCATAACAGTTTTCAATTGGTCATAAGTCAGGGGTGCATTTACAAAATAAATCATCAGGTGCATTTACGTAATTACTAATAACTTCTTCAAATTTATCGCAAAACTCACCAGCTATACATTTGGTAATATCATACCTCATGTTTGTAATTTCCAGTCTTACAGAGGCTGCGGAAATGCTGTTCTCATATTTCTTGATTTCTTTGAATTTCTTTAATATTTCAACAGGATCTTGCATTGATACTACTTTAGAATGATAATTTTTATCTATGTGATTAATCAATATATCTCTCACCTCGAATTTATGCTCGTCCAAAGTCTTTTGATCTCCTCTAAATTTTATACTACTATCTATAACATGTAATAGCTTGCGAGATCTTACTTCTGATTTGAAATAATCAAAGAAATGTTCAAATCGAGTATTACTATCTAATTTATAATCTCGTTTAACTGATGGCCCCTCGTCTATGAGATCTAGTTTAATAGTTTCTGCAACCACATTAACATTACGTTCTTTGGTGCTTCCACTATTTTGATTCAGTATTTGTGATTCTAGTTGTTCCAACTGTCTTTTAACAATATTCTGAATTTTCTCGTCCAACTCCCCATCCTCGTCAAGATCTCTGCCATTATCTGATAAATCTGACCAATTTCTCACCTCATTACCATTGTCCTCATATTCAGCCCACGTCAACAGTTTCTCCAGATTTTGTTCGATGCTGGAAAGTCTGTCATCCTGATCATTTTTCAATTCGTGTACCTCTTCTCTCACCTCTTTGATGATATCCGGCAAAAAGCGACTTGTGTTGCTCTGAATATTCACAACTTTGACAAGTGCACTGGTCACCGAGTCCAGTTTTGTACAAATTAATTCTAGCTTGTCTTGCACTGGAATTTCAGTTCGCGATTTATTAGTATAATTCTTCGTTGGATCTTTTGGGTGAGTTTGTTCTGGGTACTTTATTTGAACTTTTGGTTCTAGGTATTCAGTACTTTTAATTTGGGGTTTATTGTTACCTGTTTTGAGAGCATCAGCTACTACTGACTCATCTCTATCTCGTCCGGCCGACACACCTGATCTTTTCTCCACGTCCTCGTCATTCTCGTCAACCTCATCGCCCTTACCATTCTCTTCAATTTTCTTACCCCCGTCCATGCTCTCTACACGTCGCCATTCCAGTGGACTCTACTTTATGTTTTATATACGCGTCACCATCTCAGTGGGCTCTACTTTATGTATTACTACGCGCCGCCGTTCCAGCGACGCACCCACCATGCTAACCGACCCCCCTCACTGCTCGACCCTCATTAAATTCCTCTTCAAATTCCTCTAAAAATCTTTATTTTTAATGTTTTTCAGCTCACCAACTCTACTAGCCCCATATACATGAAAAACTTGATTCACGTCATTGTTTTAATTTAATTTTTCCCAACTTTTTAATTGACTTTTATTTAGGCTTCTAACGAAAATTGTTTTAGACGTGTCGGTGACTCATGGTTGTCGGCCATTTTTGTGTCCGATTTACTCGTTGTTCCCGCCAAGCTTTCGGGATGATGTAATTTTATTGCCGTCCTGGAGACGCTTGTTTCTTTGATTTTTCTTTTTCCACCTGTGTAAATCACTTTACTTACTCGTCTTTTCCTGTTGACTTTCCATTTTCTCGTCTCTCTGGCCTCAAATCATACTGCTCAGTCCACGTGGTAATCCTGGCTTCCACTTGAGTTTTTCCTTTTCACTTATTCACAGTTTATTCACAGTTTATTTTATTGCGCACTTGAAGTGTGACTGGCAGCCCATAACCTGATAGATTATGCGGAATTGGGACACAATAAATTAACACACTGTATTAACTCGTCAAGATTTATTCAATAAAGCACGTCACTCGTCTCGCATCTAGCGTCCCACACGTCTCGTACAGGAATGTACAGCACACACGCCGCAACCGGCCTGGGACAAGATCTGCGCATGCGCACGATCTCGTTCCCCTCTTAGCTTACACAGATATGTCTTATACTATAGATAATGTTGTATTAGGACCAGGAGCTGGAGCCATATTCCAACAGTAAATAAACCTATTTATTTGATTCAAATAAATCAATTTCCTGTGCGCAAAACATTCACGTCTCTTCCACCCTATGATGACGGTTTTATCCACAAAGTCTTCAAAATTACAATGAATTTTGAATGTGCTCGAAAAACGTTATTGTCTTCATTTTAAGTTGGGTTCCAATAATTTTTTCCCCATTATTTTCATTTTATTCTTGTTCAATTTATTTTTATTGCGTTCGGGGCCCAAGATTCATCCTCCACCCCGGTGCATTTTTTATTATTTTAATAAGAAACAATATTTCTTATCAAAATAAGAAAAAAAAATTCTCATTAAAATAAGAAACAATATTTCTTATTTAAATATTATTTCTAATGTTATGGTTCTTCCTAATGTTAATGGTTATTTCTAATGGGCCATCTTGAGTGGAACCATTTCGATCAATGAAGACTCACAAACAGAAATCAAGCAGAAAATTTCTAATAGGCCTCAAATTGGATACCTTGAAAGTATTGACTCACTTGGAGGCCCGTTATAAATGACAATTAAGACGTAATAATATTACAAGCATTACGAATGGGTTTTCCATTGGGGCGCATCATTTGTTGAAAGCATTCATTCATTTTGTGGCGCACAGAAGACATCTCCAATTGAGCCATTTAGAATCTAAATTTTAGGTTAATGACGGCTCAAGCAGGCAATAGTGAAGCAGAAAATTTCTAATGGGCCTTAAAATGAATCCCATGATGCCTGGAAAGTAGTGTCTCATTTTCGGGCCCATAGAATAAGGACCAGTTGTTGGTTAAGGCGACCATGGTTGGACTTCGGCTAAAGTAAAGTTAGTTACGAATTAAGATCTCCGATTGGCTCAGTGGTGGGGGATATTAACTTGACTTCAACCAAAAGTTAACCTTGGTTCAATTAAACAAAAAACTGGCCCTAAATCTTGAATTAAACTATTCAGATCACTAACAATCCAGGTCCTTTCTAGTCAATCAGGAAATTACTGAATGACGGAGAGTATTTTTGGTTGATTTTAAAATGAAGGATATCTGTCCCCAAGGGCAACCACCGACACTAGGGTTCGAGGAACTTGACACACTGCTACGCTCCCCTGACCATATTTGACGTCCTGGGAAATTCGGGAGAATTCAGGAACAATAAAATTATTTTCCTGCAGAAAATTGTCACATATTTAGTTCTTTACTTTTGTGCACTGATTATTTTCATTCGACCCCATTCGTCTGCTAGATGAACGCCCTAATCTAAAAAAATCGATTTTTTGGTCAAAATATTTGAGCAGAAATTTGTTTTTCCGTAAACGAAAGGCACATAAAAAGCACGTATTTTTGAGCTAATTGCTGACCCAATCGGATGACCCTGGTCTGCTAATTTCACGGAGCTGAACATCAAATTGAACAATGTACATTTTGTTTTACTGATTTCAGTGTGTGTAATAAGTCATTGTGTGTAGTAAGGTCAATTTGTCGAGGAAATGTTGGGTCAATGGTAAAGTCGTATTCATTACCTTTTGTATATCTTTAAGCACTTGAACCAGCTCCATTAAATCCATTTGATGCAGAATGTAGAACCTTGCTAAATGGAGTATCGTTGATGTGTCATGAGGTCTTACCAAGTGCAAAAGCTCCAGAGCAGAGCGCAAACGTGCCGCTCGACCGTTTAAATGGGTTCTTTGTCTGCCAGCGACTTCAAGGTTATTCGCCATCCTCTGAACGACCTAGAATTACATCAATACGGAGATTAATCAAATTTTATATCAAATTTTAACATGCCAGGTTAAGATCCATTTCTGTATTTAAGTAATCAAATGCAATGAGTCAAATGTGTCAGCTTTTTTTCATCACGTGATTATCTTGAAATTGATCTTAAAATACAGTAAAACTTTAAAGACAGAATATTCCCATTTGGACTATTTTCCAAGAAAGAATGCTGGGATCCTTCAAAAAGAATATTTTCACGGGAGGGCGGGAGTGCGGGCATCAGACTTTTTCTCTGAAAAGTCTTGTAGGATATAAGGTGGTTGTAGGTAGGGAAGGTATCGAACCACTACGCGAGACAATGGTTGCAAACTAGATAATTAGTTTATTATCGGTGTATGATTATGTATAAGTGAGTTGGTATGAATATATACATGGTGAGAGGTGGAGATGTCCACTGAGTGGCGAGAGCCAGCCGACTTCTCTAGCGAGAATGATTGCGACACCTGAGGTGTAAATGTGGTCCTCAGGTGTGAGAGAGGACTTTGATCGTCCCACGTTAGATGTAGTGAGGCGCTGTATGACTCCCTACTTTAGTAAAAAAAACGTAGTTTTTTTTAAACTGAAACATGAAGCAAAAAAATAATAAAATGAACATAACAAGTGACACTGATTCGAAACTCGTATTTTATAACTTGAGGAGAGTGGCAGACCTCTATTCAAGGCTCAAGGATGAGATTCCGATGCTGGATAGGTCTGAGGTGGTTTATCGAATCCCCTGTGAATGTTAGAAATGTTATATCGGGCAGACGAAGTGGAGGCTTGGGGACCGAGTTCGCCAACACAAGAATGACTGTGCACCTGATAAATATTTGAAGAAAGAGAAGACTGCGTTGGAAACTCATCATTTCGACCTGGATCACAGGTTTCAGTTTTTAGATGTGACCATCCTGAATTCGGAGGATAATTGGAAGAAACGGAACATCTCAGAGATGATTCATATTTGCATGAACTATACAGTGAATAAGCGAGAAGATACCCAGAGCTCAATCCGAATGTATCAGGGCTTCTTGTCTAGGTGGAAGGAAGGTGGGTATCGTAGGAGTTGATGGTGTGGGTCCATTGTTAACGGGATCGTTTGATAAATCAGCTTAGGTGTCTCCGGGGTGATTGATAAGCTGCCTAATTCTGCGTGTTTTTATTTTTGTGTTACGGATTCGGTATTCAACACTAATATATCTAATATTTATAATGACTTCATACTATGATTGTCAAGGTATTTGTTCAGTCATTTGTGTTTATTAGGTGCTAAAAAATTATATTCAGATTATTAGACGGACGTTTGACGTTTTGGAGGTTAGGTTCGGCATGTCCCCTAACTTGTTTACAATTTCTTAATCGATGAATTTTTTATTATAAATATTAATTAATTTTCTGGTATTTGCTGGTTTTCAGAGCCTGAGGAAGATTAAATATTAATCGAAACGTCGCAAATGACAATCAAATAGTCGTGTATACTCATTTTCTCCAATTTTCCATGATCTACATTCAGTAATGATAAACATGGAGATGAATCACAGCATCAGTCAACAAATTAAATATCTGAAGTTGTTCGTTCTATTAGGTGTATGACTTAATTCTCGGCCCCTAGATTAAGTTGATGAGAACACCTATTTGAATTTCAAAAAATTTCCGCAATAAAGAGTGTTTTGAAGCCCCATCTGTGAGCTATCAAACAACTCAAGTCCGATTGTGGTCTGATTAACACAACCTCAAAAAACATAGTAAATAAAAATATCGTTCGACAAGCAGCACTTGAGGCCCTTCTCTTCTTTTCACATTCCAACTTGGAAAAACTGCTGCAGAAGCACAAGAAATGATTTGTTCGGCCTTGGGAGAGAGTGCTGTGTATCTTATAGGACATGTAAAAAGTGGTTTAAAAAATTTCAGAAAGGAAATTTTAATCTCCAGGATGAAGAACGTCCTGGGCAACCAAAAAAAGTTGAGGACGAGGAGTTGGACAACCTACTCAATGAAAATCCCTGTCAAACACAACAAGAGCTTGCTGATACTCTCGGAGTGACTCAATCAGCTATTTCAAGGCGTTTAAGAAGAATTGGGAGGATACAGAAGTAAGGTCATTGGGTGCCCCATCATCTTATCTCAAAAAACGAAGTCGACGGTGTAAAATTGCCATATGCCTACTAACCAAATTCAAACAAAAAGACTTTTTACATAAAATTGTGACTGGGGATGAAAAGTGGATATGTTACGACAATCCTGAGAGACCAAAGTCGTGGATTTATCCGGAGGAGCCATCAACGAGTACTGCAAAACCGAACATTCACGGGAAAAAATTATTGTTGTGTATTGGGTGGGATTCCAAAGGTGTAATCTATTATGAGATACTCGAACAGGGGGGAACCGTCACTGCTAAGTGTTATCAGGAGCAAGTGGTGAAATTGAGTGATGCTATTGAGGAAAAGAGACCTTTTAGTGGTAGTGGTACGAGGCAAGTAATTTTGGTGCAGGACAACGCGCGGCCACAGACAGCAATAGAAACCGTGAAAGTTATCTCCATGTTGGGCTGGGAAATTCTCCCACATGTGGCGTATTCTCCAGACCTTGCGCCTTCTGACTACCATCTTTTTCGGGCGCTACAACATTACCTGGTGGATACCCAGTTCCAATCTCCTGAAGAAGTCCGGCAGAGCATTGATGACTTGATCCAGTCAAAACCACCATCTTTTTTCCGAGCCGGAATACGACAATTGCCCGATAGATGGGAGAAATACGTGCAAAATGACCGTGATTATTTTCAAGATTGTATCTGAAAATAAGATCTGTATTCATTTTTTTATAAGTAAATGTCAAAATTGTCGAAAAAAGGCCGAGAATTAAGTCATACACCTAATATTTGAATGACATTCCTCCTCTTCTATTCAGCTTCCCAACCCTAAGGGAGGAAGTTATTTCAATTGAAATCGAAATACATGGTAGCTTGTCATCCGAGAAAAGTTTTGACTCCGACTGTACAAAACATCAGACCGAATGCGTCGCGTATCTACGATAAATGTACGGATGCTCGTCCCTGTCCCTATGCTCGGTCAGATGTCGCGAGGTACATCATTTTGAAAGTCTTAAGAATCTGTTACGTTGAATACGATCGGAGTCATTGTTTTAGTCGATAAGGCAAGTTATCGACACCAATGAACAATAATTTATTGAATAATAAGAGAAAAATTCCATTCACATCAACTGGCGCAAGATAAGAAACTCACAATTTTAAAATGTTGATATCTCCGTTATAATGGTAAAATAGGATTAAAAATCCCTTCTCTGAGGTTTCAGATACTTAAAAATTCAATAAAATGCATAAATTATACTATGTGACGTGATAAATTCATCACAAATATTTATTCTTTATTATCGACCGTTCTGCGTGTGGGTTTGTGGTTATGAATCACTAGACGGGAAGTCATCAACCGATAGCAAGAGTGATGATGCCGCGAGATTCGAGAGAAACGAGACGACAGACATGACGAGACGAGACGGCAAGAGTCATTCGAGACAATGACAGAAACGAGACGAGACGAGAAAAGCCGGTCGAGAACGAAAGAAACGAGAGGCGCGCCGAGAGTCGGCAGGGCCTACCCCTCTATGCCCCTCTATGTATTTTTTCCGTCCAAATTGGATTATAGAGATGAGATAAGGGGAGATGAGACGAGAGAATTTCTCGATTCTCAACGAGACGAGAGAAGAAATTGCTCTCGTATTTCAATATGAGACGAGATGAGAGAATGGTTTCCTAGCAACGAGACGAGACGAGAGGATACAGTTTCTTGTCTCGTCTCGCGGCATCACTGAGCAAGAGTCATGAGAGAGAACTTGGGTTTTTCTTTTTTAATTTTGTGTATTATTTTGAATCGCATTCGGCGCCATCACACCTATGCTAAGGGAGCCACCGTCTTCGAGAGACGTCGGGATGTCGAGGGTTGTCGAAAGACTCCGAGATAGCTTCGGGGCCTTCGTGAGAGCCTCGCGGGCATTCGTGTTCCCCAGAGGGCGCCAGCTCCTGGACAGTTTTGAGCGAGGAAGTGACGCAGTGGCCCACTTGAAGAATAATACATGTTTTGCAACCAACTGTCAATTGGTAACGGACTAAACCGATGAAAAAATCACTGTAACGGTTGGGCTCTCCAATTGAAATATAATTTTATGCTTCGAGATATTTTTAGTATCGTCTTATCACAAAATAGGATACTCACGATGCCATTAGTTCGGATATAACCTTTCCGTTTAACTGAACTCACGAGACGAGCATAGGAACATGTGTCAAACGGGCATGAGGACAAGTGAGCCTGCGTAGGGACATTGGTCTTCCCACATTTATAAACGATTATATATTAAAAAATAGTAATTATCAAGATTAATATGATTGAATTCCAATTCTGGAGGTTTTCTCTTTGGATATCTAATTTACACCATCGCATGTTCACGACCATTTCGAAAGAAATATTTGTAATGATTATTCTTTGGTCTCAACAAATAACCAATAACCCTAACCCGAAAATTCTCGATTATCCAAACAAGGCCAAATCATTACCTTCGTTCTCGTAACCCCACAAATCTGAAACGCCAAAACCAAAACGACAAAACTGAATTCCGGGAACAATAAGCAGCTCATTTCATCCTTGCTTCGAACATTTAGGGCGCCCCATGATTTTTAGCAACGCGGAATCGACGAGCCGTAAACGGAACCGTATTTATTTGAAACTAAATACTGATTCCCCCAAAAATTCAATAACAACAAGAAACGTAACAAAAACTATATGCAGAAATGTGAATTACGAGGGTACGGGATTTACTCGATTGCTCAATGTGCGGATCATGAGGAGAGGGGTGGATGCGTGGATGAGAAAATGAGTAAATCAAAAACCGATAGTCTAGAGAGGGACCAAAAACTAATATCTTAGACTCTATTCGGGGAAAGGTATAGGTTGATAATCGAATAATAAAA